AGTGAACTCAGGTCTGTTGTCATTCATGTCGATCACATTGATCACAAAATCAATAGGGTTTTCAACCTGGTTGCCATTCAAGTCCACTGCATGAGCTCTTAACTGGAAAGAACACACAAAAAACTGGGTTATTCTTGTCCGTAAAAACCATTAAAACAAAAATAAACAAACACCTCTCAGTAAGCGTCACCCATTACATGAATGTACTAATCAAAGCCATGAACTGTAACCAGCAGCATTTATTGGTGTAGGAAAAAATTCCAAATTTTTGAAGAAATGTTCTTAGTCTAAACTAGTAAGACAAAAGGAGGACCAAAGCACATTGTTCTTTGTATTTGAGTTTTGCTTTGTCTGATGACCATTGGAGATAGGCAACCTGAGCAGAATCAAGCAGATAATGACGAGAGTAAAGAATGTACAGTTTTTCTTTCCCACCACCACTACCGCTGCATGAACATCGATAACCCACGATGAGCCAGACGTCTGCCACAGAATCAATACCACAACAATTGTCTGTATTTCTGAATAATGCCTGTCAAAAACTGATAAATTTACACAGCTGCAGAAAAAAAAGCTTTGCAGAGAGTGGTGAAGGCTGCACAGAAGTCTGTTGGGAGTCAGCCTCCCCACCATCATAGAAATCTACACCTCCAGATGTAGGAAAAAGGCCAACTGCATCATGAAGGACCCCACTCACCCATCACACACACTTTTTGCCCTGCTTCCCTCAGGCAGAAGATAAAGTAGAATTAAGTGCAGAACCACTAGACTGAGGAACAGCTTCTACCCTGAGGCTGTTAGACTTGTGAATCCCTAACCAGGATAATCACTGTGAAAAATCACATCATGTTGCTTCTGATCTGTTTCATGTTGCTGTGTTCATTCGTACTCATCTGCTCACACAGACTCATGTTCGTGCTGCTGTTCGGCGCATTGTTTTTTTTACTACTAGTGCTTAGCATATTTTTAGTTAACGTTTTTCTTAGTTCATATCTTAGATCTTATTACGGTTTTTCTTTTACATTTTATACTTTTGTTGGATGTAACTGGAACCCTGTGTACACAGTTTTGTTCCACCACATGTACTACATGTGGTGCGCATGACAAATAAAGAAACTTTATCTCTCTGAACTCTCTCTCTCACTCTGATATAATCCAAGTTGATTCATGTTTTTATACAAACCGGATTCCAAAAAAGTTGGGACACTAAACAAATTGTGAATAAAAACTGAATGCAATGATGTGGAGATGGCAAATGTCAATATTTTATTCGTAATATAACATAGATGACAGATTAAAAGTTTAATCTGAGTAAATGTAACATTTTAAATGAAAAATATGTTGATTCAAAATTTCACAGTGTCAACAAATCCCAAAAAAGTTGGGACAAGTAGCAATAAGTGGCTGGAAAATGGAATTTGAGCATATAACGAACAGCTGGAAGACCAATTAACACTAATTAGGTCAATTGACAACATGATTGGGTATAAAAAGAGCTTCTCAAGAGTGTCAGTGTCTCTCAGAAGCCAAGATGGTAAGAGGATCACCAATTTCACTGTTGCACAGAAAGATAGTGCAGCGATACCAGAATGGTATTACCCAGAGTAAAATAGCAAAGACTTTTAAGTTATCATCATCAACCGTGCATAACATCATCAAAAGATTCAGAGAATCTGGAACAATCG